TCGGGACTTGCTGCGAACCAGTTTAGAAAGCCTAGATCCTGCACTTGTTTGGGTTACATTGTGAAAACTCCAATTGCCTGCCGGCTGAAATCGGTACGAGCCCTCCCGCCTGCCACTCAATCAAAGGGAAGCTGCTCTCCATTGCTCTAGCAGACATATCTCTAAGTGTCTTCTGACTGGCTTGCATAGCACGGCGCACGGCGGTGCGAAGCTCTCGTCGTAGGCGACTTAAATTCTCGCGGTTCTGCTGCACATAGTAAAAGCCCGGAACTTTGCCCAAACCTCCTGGTGGAAGACGACAGGACCCGGTAGGACTTGGTGGGGTTCATAGTTAGCTCAAACTTAACATCGACCAAGGATAAAATGCTGGCCTTTACACGGTTGCAGAACCATTTACCCTCTGGTAGCCGGTAGCCTTAAATGGCGCATGGCTAGGCTACAGCAAAGACAGAAAACTGTTTGTCGCCCTTCGAGGGAAAAACCGGAAAAACCTGGGAGTCACAGTATTTCATCCAACCCTCCTGATTGTGCTCCAACGGTGATGGCTCCTCGCCAAGCAAACTCGATATCGACGTATCCAAAGGGCTCATCGCGTGATGGCATCAAACAAAAGTCTGCCCCCCATTTCAAAGATGGAGGTGCCTGAATGAACTCACATTTGGCCACTAATCGACCTTCAAAACAATCCATGGCAGCCAGTGCTTCCAATCTTCTCTGAGCATAATATCCAAAGCCGTCTGCAGGCGGTCCGATCACAAGAAGTTGAGCATCTGGATAAGTGCGCAGCAACCATTCGGCTACATCAGCGAGGATATCCACTCCTTTCTGTCTTACCAGGCGTCCCAAGGAGACGAAGAGACGAGCATCGGGATCCACATTTAAGCCAAATTCACTCCTCAGTACTGGGTTGGAATACAAAATTGGTTGGCATCCATGATCCAACACAATATCCTACACGACATTGACTTTTCACGAAAAGCACCCTAGATAGCACCCAGATTGCATCCGGAACAAGGAGATTCACGTGAATCACAAAAATAAATGGAACTTCTCCAATTCCAAAGGGGGGGGTCCTCGTTCCATTCCAACAAGTGACCAAGAAAGTCTACGCTTCGTTTTTTGCGGATTTAACCTCCCATAATTCACTTTGGTGGGATAAAAATCCCCCATCACCAGGGAAAAAACTGCTGAGTCTGTCTTAAAACATGTTCCCACAATTTTTATGGTTGTAAATCACATGTTTCTTATTATTTGATGGTCATAAATTGGGGATAAACACCACCGTTAGAGTCCGTTAGAGTGTATCAAATGATTTCCTTGATATGATTAAAGGATATCAAAGGCTTATAATTCTTGTTTCTTGGGGTTCAAACCCACCTACCCTTCTGTTCGCCCTCAAAGAGCTTTTTGAGTAGATGTTCATCCCCCCATTCATATGCTATTTCAGCTGTTGAATCCATTCCCATAGTGGCACGGCAAGTCGCTGCACCTGTCGTTTGGCCTCCGCCTTCTGGACACTCAGATCTTTCAACAGATCCGCCTTTGGCGAAAAGCCGTGGGAAGCGCTGCAAAGCTGATGTCGAGAGATTAGGATCTTAATCTGAGAGTCAGGATTTGGGTCTTTGTTTAAACAAATCATTAGAAAAGATCATATTCTAGATCCACATTGGATCCACATTGAATCCACATCATCAATCATTCCATTGCGGAATCAGAGAGATGGAGAGATGGGTCTCGTGCGAATGGTTCGCAACCAAAATCAGGTTGACTCGGTTGACTCAAAGAATTCATCGACTTTCGTGATGAGATAGAGAGATAGAGATAGGATGGGATAAGTTTAGAATAGATTAGATATGGTTATGATATGGTTATGATATGGTTATGATATGGTTATGATATGGTACATACAAAAATACTTCGGAGAAATTGTCTGCCTCTCGTTCATCCTCCAGCATAGGATTGTCAATACCCCCGATGCTCGGCAGTTGCCAAAAAATGCTGTACCTGGCCGCAGAACTTGGAGCCGTCAGCTTCAGGGGTACAGTACTGTTGAAGCTGTATGCCATGGATCAACCACAAAATTCGACCAAATTACTGCAGTTGAACCTTGGTCCATGACTAGATTTGGTGCCATCAGAATGTGCAAGTGTGTGTAATGTAGCGTGTATGTGGGTTTCTCTTAAAATTGGCTATGCCCCAATTTCAGACACAAAAACATATCGTTGGTAGTTATATCTCCCATTCTATTTCCATTAGATGACCATTTTGGTCGGTTAAATCCCCATTTTTGTGTGATAGAGTGCTACACACCTGCTCCGTCCGAACTTTCCCACCTGGCATGGCATTCAGCTGCATAGAATTGGGACACAGCATAAGCTCCTTGGCCCTCCTCGCAACTCCGTCAGGAGATTTCAAAAGTTGGAGGTTCGCCAGGGAATAGCAATGTATATCAATGAATAGCCCGTGAATACCCTGATTTCCCGGGAAAAAGTTTCCTTCTTGGCTCATGGCTCTAATTGGCTAAGGCAGGAAGAAGGGGGCAGCCGCATCTCTTCCTACGGAAATAACTTGAAGTGTACCATATTCCATCAGCAAAATCAACGTATAATACGTATAACAAACATGAGAGGTTTGGTAAAATCGCAATGTAGGCCTGACCTTCAACCATGAATCGCTGGTTGCAAGTTTTGAACCGAACTGCAAGAATAAATTGCGATGAAACAATATCATTGAACAGGAAAATGATAGGCTGGTAGGTACACTCATGAATCTCTGCACATCAGCACCACGCTCCTGATAGGCCAATAAAAAGTCGACTCCAGCTTTTAACATATTGAATCGGCCCTCAGCGGTAAGATGTGCAAATATAAAATCTTCAGACATGTTGAAGATGCGCGCCACCTTCTCACACTGCCGCTCTCGAATCATGTCTGTGGAAACAGAGCCCTGGTACTCCGCATTGTGCAAGACCAACAACATGCGAAGCTGGGCTGGATCCGCTGGGTCTTGATTTTGCAGAGCATACCAGGGCGCAATACAAGCGTGAAAATCTGGGCAGTGATACACATGCGGCTTGTAGCGGTGCAGAAGCTTCCCAACACATTGATTCCAGAGGGAATAAAAGCAAAGCACTTTTCTCCTGGACATTGGGTTGGGATAAATGCTTTTCTTGTCCCTCTCCTCGAACCAAGGATGCGACAGCCTTGGTAGCCCATGCTTCGATGAAAAAAAACATCGCCCGTTCGGGCAAGGCACAAAGAACAATTCAGTGATTCGACAAGACCTACCAGTTGAATTCATCTACAACATCATTGCGCTCCCAATGTATCAGAAGGGTGTCCAAACCACAAGAGAGTGTAGATGCATCATGTGGTTTGGAGCTTATACCATGTTCTCAGCCCATGGTTTGGAGCGAACATCATCCAAAGCATGGGCCAGGCGGCAGCAGAAATCCACGTTTGATGGCGGCAAGACTCTCGGAATCCGCAGGTTTGGAGTAAAAAACTCTCACCAGCTGCTCGTGATCATCCACCGTGATTCTGAGGGGTGGAAGCTCAAAGTCATGACCTGAAGACCAGGACAACAGAGCGCTGGTGAAACTGGGCCTAGCAACCCAGGTTGGGGTAGTGCTGTACGTATGGGATAAAGAATCACAGGCACCCTTCAACTTCAAAGAGTGCTGGCTACCCCAAAAAAAAACTACCTACAAAAGAAAACAATATCTCCACTTTCCGCAGGCAAGCATCGGTACGTCAAGTCTTTCACCTTCGGATGTATCATCAGGATGTCTGTTGGGTGATGACGGGCAACCAGGTCCATAACCTTCCCGAGACCACCTGCCTGTGCCTTACACCTGAGGTGGGGGATGGAATGCTCCAATGATGCACACATGACGCGACAACTTCCAGGTTGGATGAGTTCCCTGGTGGTTGGCCGCATTGGGCTTAGCAACGGCTCGCTCAACATTCCATCGGTTCCTTCAGAACCTTCTGCAGTCACTCTCCGGCGGCGGGCAAAGTATTCAGCCAGCCAGAAGAAGAGCGTGGGAAGCGGCCATGCAAGACACAGCCAGACCTGCGTGCTTGAAAAACCCATCTGAGAGATGTGAAAATTTTGGCTTGGTTCAAAAAGGCATCCCAAGTAAGATCGGTCTCCGTATTTGGGTTAACAATCATAATCCCCAATGAATTAGGTGGTCTAACCCCCCATAACTCCCATGGATCACAGGAGATGTCACTGTCCAGAACCCCATGGCCAGGGAACAGAGATGACCGGGAATGGAACTCCACTGTCCAGGTTCACCACAGCATCCGAAAGGCGTCTCAGGGTTTCATCAGTTTCATCCATGGCTCAGCCGGAGTCCCGAAAAGTGCCAGAAACAGCTTCTGTCACTGGGTTTTTAAGGAGAAATCTATGGGAAACCAATGGGTTCACCACTTTCAGGATGATCTGGTTCCTGACAGTGCACAGACTTCTCTCCCGAAACGTGCCACGATGACCATAGAAACTGGCAGACTTATATGACCAACAGTTCATCCTCGGAGAAACCCATCTCAAGTAGCCAATGTTGACCGGTCTGGGTCAAATACCCAAGTTCCCGGCATGTCTGCAACCAACTCTCTAGGTACCAGCTCCGAGCCCAGAGGATGCAGCGCGGAAATTGAAACAACTGCGGTGACTGCAGATTCGAGATCCAATCTGATCACGTGGCTTCACGGCAACTCTCAACTTCCAAACACTTCTCGAGGTGATTGAGGCAGGTTTGGGGGGGTTCAAGCATCTTAGCTTTCGGGAGTCTAAGGTTCATTAAAGACATTTTAAACCCCACAAAAACAATTTGCTGACATTGACCAGCTTCTACTGATGGCAGGCGAGACCATCTGCTGGGGCCTTTAGCTTGACATTGCCTCACATAGCTGTGGCTCAAACTTGATATCAGTTTGAACTATTCCGAATGTGTTGCTCTGGACTATGTTCAAAAAATAGTTGCCTGCGTATGTATGCATGCATGCATGGACGGATGGATGGATGCATGGATGCGTGGATGCCTGTATGCCTGCATTGCCTGTATGCATGTATGCATGTCTGCATGTGCGCATGTGTGCATGTGTACATGTATGTCTCCATGAGTCTACATGTACACATGTGCATGTATATATGCATACATATACATCTATATATACAGAAACATATACATCTATACATACATATATATATATATATATGTGTTTATATAGAGACAGAGAGGGACATTGGGCTTGAATAGAAAAACATATCAAATTATCAAAGCATCATAGTCCCTACTCTATCACAAACTTAATCCTCATCATATTCAATACTCTATCTTTATCAACATGTGTGAACACCCTTTCATTTGGAGAAAAGAACAGATCATATAAAGTAATGTAAAGATGAATTCCTGTTTACGAACATGTAGATAGATGGATTTATAAAGTGCTGCATTTATAGCAGCTAGAAATTTGTTTCTTAATAAATGTTGCTTCAATAATTAATACTTATGTATATATTTATAGAAACAAAAAACATATATAAGTATACTGTATATGACAATAAACATAATAAACTTCATCAACACTAATATATACATATACATACATTATCTATGAATATTATATTTATTTATATATTTTTTTTTCTGTACATCAAAATTCAAAGGAGCGGTCTTCAAAAAAGTTGTTGAATTGAGTTTGAATGATGCCAGTGGGACCTTGCGCTTTCAAGATGAGCTCGCGTGTTGTTGCTTGCCCTGTGCACGCGTTGTTATGTCTTTAGTCTTTTAGACTGTCTTCCGCTCATTTGGTGGATACATTTAGTCTTTTAGAGTGTTCTTCGCACATTTTTTCATACATAAATACGATATGAAGCTGGAACGAGGAGCAAAATGTTTGCTGGAAGCGTGTGAAACGCTTGCAAGCACGTCGCCCTGTGCAATTTTCAAAGAACGGATTGTACTGAGTGGTCTGCTGGCAGTAACGCTGCTCAAATATAGTAGATCTTGGCAGGCAAATAAGTGGAACAATGTCGAGGAAAAGTGCAGAAATTACCGCTCAGTCAATGATTCATATAAATAATCGAAAATCGTTCCATCGGCTCGTATGTATGATATAAATCAGATTGATTCTGTTCATTTTTTAATCACATTTTTTTAATCACTTTTTAAATAACCAATATGTCGGCAGTCGAATTGTGTAGATTTGCGTATTTCACATGAATCGCGAGCACCTCAGTGGTTCACACAAGAAATGGAAACTTCACACAATCAAATGAAAAACTCTTCAAACCTGACACTACTGAACCAAAATCAAGTCCAAATTTTGTTGCTGCCCATTAATCCCCCGTAATTCCCACTACATCCATGACTAATCAACACCCACTAAGACCCGCTAGGAAGCCGTGCCCCAGTCGGTGGAACCTGCCCGGAAAGGAACTGCCAGGCTCCAGAAAATTACTTCAGGGTATGGCAAGCGAAGAATGGGGTATATTTGCTCATATCCCAATTATAATACTTATAATATCCCACTTATAATATCCCAGTTAGTTGATGTTAGTTGGATAGTTTACCCTCTGGTAATCTGACAGATCGCTAAGGAAAATGGCCCATTTAGGCCACCTATTTGTCACGTGGTGATTTTCCAATATGTGCCATAGCTACATTGAATTACCAGAAGGATCATGTAGCTATGGCAATAAGGAAATCCGCCGACCCCGGCCTTCGCCAAGGCCGGGGCGGCGCCTGGGACCACCGCAGGTGTGGACCTTGTCCTCTTCCAAACCCTCCAAACCTTTACCCTTAAGCAGCTTCCCCAACAGGCACCCCAGGGCCAGGGCCACAGCAATGACTTTCTATGAGCTTTCAAAGCTGCCGTTTGCCAGCCCGCAAAGGCTCCAAATGCCTCCAAAATTCCAAACCCCCAGGGCCAGGGCCACAGCAATGAGACTTTTTATGAATTTCAAAGCTGCCGTTTGCTAGCCCGCAAAGGCTCCAAACTTGCCAAAACAAAATTCCAAACACCTTCCCCAACAGGCACCCCAGGGCCAAGGCCACTTCCCCAACAGGCACCCCACGGCCAGGGCCAAGGCCACTTCCCCAACAGGCACCCCAGGGCCAGGCCACAGCAATGGCTTTCTTAGGCTTTCAAAGTTGCCGTTTGCCAGCCCGCAAACCCTCCAAAACTCTCCAAACCCTCCAAACGCTCCAAACCCTCCAAAACCCGCCAAACCCTCCAAACACCGTCAGCAATGACTTTCTTGATGCTTTCAAAGCTGCCTTAACAGGGGGCCAGGGCCACAGCAATGACTTTCTATGGGCCTCAAAGCTGCAGTTTGCCAGCCTGCAAAGGATCCAAACTTCCAAAATTCCAAACACCTTCCCCAACATGCACCCTAGGGCCAAGGCCACTTCCCCAACAGGCACCCCAGGGCCAGGCCACAGCAATGGCTTTCTATGGGCTTTCAAAGCTGGCTTTCTTAGGCTTTCAA